TCAATATTCAACCCCAAACCTCAATAACCCTGTTCCCAACCTCAATATTCAACCCCAAACCTCAATAACCCTGTTCCCAACCTCAATAATCCACCCAAAAACTCAGTGATCGACCCCAAACCTCAGTATTCACCCCCAAACCTCATTAACCATATCCCAACCTCAATATTCACACTCGAACCTCAGTCATCAACCCCAAACCTCAATATTCACACCCAAACCTCAATATTTACAACCAAACCTCACTAATCACCCCCAAACCTCATTAACCCCCTCCCAGGGGTGCTGAAAATGTGGGAAACGCCCCATTTTTTTACCTTTCTCGCCTCTTCCCAGCTCGTCCTGCAGGTTTTCTGGGAAAAAGGAGGGACAGGGAGGTGAGTGGTGACCCCCCAAAAAATCCCAAACCCCATCGACAAAGTGTCACCTCGAGCTGAGGGTGAAGTGGGGACGAGACAGGGGAAATCCTCCCCCCAAATATATTTAATTTCCATTAAAAACCCCCCTCTGGACACGGAGAAAACACCCATGGAAATAATACCAATAATCCCTGGATGGAAACACGGGATTTTTTCGTATTTATCGCGAATTTGCATTTAGGGATTTTTTTTTTTCCCCCCCTCCTCTTTTTGGTGCTTTTTTTTTTTTCCAGGTGCTTCAGCACCACCTTGGGGTTTCCCTCCCCCTCTGAAACCCCGAAACTCTCCGAAATCGGGAAAAATCAAAGATTTCCTCGCCCCAAAAACCTCCGAGCGGGTTCGGATTTAAGAAAATCCCCCCGGTTTGGGGTTATTTTGGGGGTTTTTTTGGCCATTCCTTCCTTTCCCGGTGCCGGGAAAAGGCCGAGGGGGGACAATTTTAAATTAAATTCAAATTCAAATTTAAAATTTTCCCCACCTCGGAATTTCTTCAGGACCTTCTCCAGGACCACGGTCTTGAGGGAGAAGTTGCAGACGTGGATCTTGGTGTCGGTGCTCACCGGGACGGGCTTCTGGCACTTCACCTCGTCGCTCCTGAATCCCCCCAAAAACGAGGAGAAAATCCTTGGAATTCCCCCCCCCTTCCCAGTTTTATTCACGGAGTTCCCATCCAGGAGGATCCCGCCGGGATTTAAACCCTCCCCAGGCTGAGAACTCTGGGATTTGGGGGCTGATTGTGGTTGGGAAGGGGGTGTGTGGGAGAAAATCCTTGGAATTCCCCCAAGAATGAGACATTTGGGGGGTTTCTGGTCTCACTCGACCCTCGGAGAAACCTCCCGGGGGGGAAAAGGTGACGAGAATTCCAAGGATTTGGGACAGACCCAGCGAGTGGGAGGCGGATTCCACTGGTTCTGGTGCCTCCCTCTGACCTTTAAACGAGGGTGGGGGTGTGGAAAACGCCTGGAAAAAGGCTGGAAAATCGGGATTTCTCACCTGCTGATGACGCCCATCACGTCCTGGAGAGGGAAAAGAGAAGGGGGGGGGAGTGAAATCCCTGAAATCCCTGAGTTCCCTTCCCCAAAAACCCCATTTTTCCCCCCATTCCCGGTGCCTTTGGAATCCCTCTGGAACAAACCCGAGAGTTGTTTTTTCAACAGGAACAATCGGGGTGGGGTTTGTGTGAGATGGGAGGAATTCCCACCCCCCTTTTTGGGCAAAGTTCCCCGGGGACATCCGTAAATATTCAAATATTGACTGTTCCCGGAGCGCCCCGGCCGGGAATTTAACCCCCTGCAGGTCCTGCCCGGGTAATTAAAAATAAATTAAATAAAAGGCCAATTAAAAGGTCACTCACCACCCTCCTGCTGTGGGAGGGTGAGGACAGGGCCAATTTGCCTGGTTAATTAAAAATATGGCCGATTAAAAGTTGATTAAAAGACCAATAAAAAGATCAATTAAAAGGTCAATTAAAAGGCCAATTAAAAGACCAATTAAAAGGTCAATTAAAAGGTCAATTAATTAAAGGGTCACCCACCACCCTCCTGCTGTGGGTGGGGATGGGGGGGGGGGGCAGTGGATTTTGGGGATGTTCTTTTTCCCAACTTTCTTTTCCCTCGGAAAGGAGGGGTTTAATCCTGAACACCCCCAAAAAAAGGAGCTCAAGGGGGGGGGGAAGTCCTGGAAAGGGGTCAGAGAAGTTCATGGAGGGGAAAAGATCCCTTAAAAAGCCCTTTAAAAGTGAAGAGCAAATCTCTGCTGGGAGGGGGGAAAAATTCATCGGAGAACTTTAAAACTGAAGAGAAAAATTCCGTTTGCGAGGGTTTGGGTGTCGCTGAAGGGCTCTCAGGCACCATTTACTCGCTAAAAATGGGGGAAAAAAAAGGGGTTTTACCCCCAAAACGCCTCTGGGGGATCCACAAAGAGACCAAAAACGAGGAGAAATGAGGTCCCACCTTGAGGAACTCGAGCGTGGGCTGCTGGACCTTCTCCTCCAGCTCGGAGATGAGCTTGTTGAGGAGGGTGATCTCCCGGGAGAGGTCGGAGATGTTCCCGTTCTGCCTCCGGGAGATGTTCTTCTCCATCTTCTCCAGCTGCCCCAGCAGGAGCTGCTCCTGCTCGCGCAGGAACTGCCGCAGCCGCTCGAACTCCGACAGCAGCTTCTGCCGCTCGCCCTCGATGGTTTTCTGGGGTGAAAATGGGGGAAAAAAGGGCATTTTTAGGGGGGAAAATTGGGGTGGGGGACTGGGAGCACCGGTGAGGAGACACAGAGTGGGATATTCCCGGGTAAAACCTTGGGAAGGGGTGGGAATGGGAGAGGAGAGATCTCCTGATCCTCAGCTCTGCCAGAAAAAGGGGATTTTAGGGGGGAAATTGGGGTGAGGGACACAGAACAAGGCCAAAAAAGGGGATTTTAGGGGGGATTTGGGTGGAGAGGGGCCAGGGGGGGACTGGGAGCACCAGTGAGGAGACACAGAGTGTGACATTCCCAGATAAAACCTTGGGAAGGGGTGGGAATGGGAGAGGAGAGACCTCCTGATTCCCCCCCTAATAAAATCCCCTTTTTTTGGCGGAGCTGAGGATCAGGAGATCTCTCCCATTCCCACCCCTTCCCCAGGTTTTATCGGGAATGCCACGCCCTGTGTCTCCTCACGGACTGGTGCTCCCAGTCCCCCACCCTGCCCCTCTCCACCCCAATTTCCCCCCTAAAATCCCCTTTTTTTGGCAGAGCTGAGGATCAGGGCTGGATTTTTGCTCCCAAACACCTTTGGGAATGCCAAGGGGGTGATGGTCCAGGAGGGGAGCTTTTCCTGGGAGGGAGGGGAGGGGGAAAAAAGCCCCGGGAATGAGGGGGCTGAGGAAGAGGAAGATGAGGGAGGAGAAGGGAGGAGGGAAAATCCCAAATCCCATTTTCCCGCTCGGGAAGTGGAGCAGGGAGTGGGAGGGGATGGGAGAGAGGGAAGGGGAGGGGAGGGGAGGGAGGGGAGGAAGGGGAGGGATCCCCCAGAGCCCCGGGAGGACCCACCAGCAGCTCCTGGGTCCTCTTGTCGTCGTTCACTTTGAACTCCAGCAGCTCCTGGCGCTCCTTCCGCAGGAGATCCAAGCGGCCCTGGATCTTCTCCTGGGGGGAAACAGAGGAGGGAGGAAAGAAGGAAGGAGGGAGGGAAGGAGGGAAGGAAGGAAGGAGGGAGGGAAGGAGGGAGGGAAGGAGGGAGAGAGAAAGAAAGGGAGGAAGAAAGGAAGGAAGGAGGGAAGGAAGGAGGAAAGGAAGGAAGGAAGGAGGGGGGAGGGAAGGAAGGAAACGTTACCGGTGGTTTTCCTTCCTTCCTTCCCTTTTGCTCTTGGGAAAGAGGGGCGGGATGGGAAGGGAAGCCCCAGGGACCCCCATAACCCCCCCCAAAAAAACGGGGAAGGGGGCAGAGGATGCCAGGGAAGGACCCGGGGGGGCACCGGGCAGAGGGGACGTGCCCGGCTCTTGGCGCACGGAGCGAGGTTTCAATCGCCTCCTCCGCTCCTCCCTGGAAGGTCGCCCGGGGCCCGGAATAGTCGCCGGGAGGGTTTTTGCTCCATCAGCTGTTCCTGGGAGCTCCGGGAGGGGTCAGCAGGAGGAGAGGGGGGTCCTGGAGCCTCCCGGGGGGCAGGAGAAGGAGGGAGGGGGTCGGAGAGTTCTCCAGGATTTCTGGAAGGCTGGGAAGTATCACCAGCCCCTCGGGAGAGAGGACACGCGGGGGGAGCAGGGTCCGGGGGGGCAGGACAGACGGACGGACAGGGGACGGTTCTCCAGGATTTCTGGAATGCTGGGAAGAGCCACCAGCCCCTTGGGATGGTGCCACGAGGGGGAGCGGGGTCTGGGGGCAGGACAGACGGACGGACAGGGGACGGTCCTCTGGGGGGGGGGGGAGAGAGAGACGGGGGGGGGGGGCAGGGTCTGGGGGGCCAGGACGGACAGACGGACAGCGGACAGTCCTCCAGGATTTCTGGGATGCTGGGAAGAGCCACCAGCCCCTGGGGAGGGGGTGTCGGAGAGCGGAAAGTCCTCCGGGTTTCGCGGAATGCTGGGAAGCGCCAGGACCACGAGGGGGGGACAGGACAGACTGACAGACGGACAGGGGACAGACGGACAGGGGACAGACGGACAGGGGACAGTCCTCCAGGTTCTTTGGAAGCCCGGGAAGCGCCACCAGCCCCTTGGGAGCGAGGAGGGGGGGAGCGGGATCGGGGGGGGGGGGGGGGGGGGGGGGGCAGGACAGACGGACGGAGAAGGGGGAGCGGGGTCCGGGGGACAGGACGGACGGACGGACGGACAACCTTGTACTCCTCGGCCGCCTCGTCCACGGGCACCACGGCGTGGGGCCGGTGCTCGCGGGAGCGGTCGCACACCACGCAGATGGGGCGCCCGTCGTCGCGGCAGAAGAGCTTGAGGGCTTCCCGGTGCCGCGGGCACTGCCCCGTGGCCACCTCGCCGCCGCCCTGGTGGCCACCGGCACCGCCGCCACCCCTCTGGGCGAACTGGGCGATGATCTCGGCCATGTTGGCGAGCTGCCGGTTGGGTCGGAAGCTGCGGAGCTGGAAAACCTCCCGGCACTGCGGGCACGGGAAATCCCCCTCCAGGTCCCGCCAGCTCTTGGCGATGCAGGAGCGGCAGAAGTTGTGGCCGCACTCGATGGAAACCGGGTCGCGGAAGAACTCGAGGCACACGGAGCAGGTCGCCTCGTCCTGCAGGTTGCCCGGCAGGAAAACGCCGGCCATGGTCTCCCCTCTCCTCCTGCGGGGCAGGGACCGAGCTCAGGGATCGCTTCCCGCAGGGATGGGAGGGGATTTGGCACCGATTCCCGCAGGGATGGGAGGGTTTCTGGCACTCGTTCCCCGTGGGATGGGAGGGTTTTTGGCACCCGGAGGGTTTTTGGCACCGGGAGGGTTTTTGGCACCGGTTCCCGGTGGGATGGGAGGGGTTTTGGCACCGGGAGGGGTTTTGGCACCGATTCCCGGCGATCGGGGACCGATCGGGGACCGATTCCCGGTGATCAAGGATCGATTCCCGGCGATCAGGGACCGATTCCCGGCGATCAGGAATTGATTCCTGGCGATCGGGGACCGATTCCCGGCGATCAGAAATCAATTCCCGGCGATCAGGGATCGGTTCCCTGAGGGATGGGAGGGTTTTTGGCACCGTCCCGGGAGGGTTTTTGCCCGGGAGGGTTTTTGGCCCCGGAGGGTTTTTGCCCGGGAGGGTTTTTGGCCCCGGTTCCCGGGAGGGTTTTTGCCTGGGAGGGTTTTTGGCCCCGGTTCCTGGCGCGGGTGTTTCCCTCCCCCGGGACCGAGGGGTCACTCGGGCAGTGTCCGATTTCTTTAACCATTGACGGGGTTTTGGGGTTTCTTTAACCACCGACAGGGTTTTATAATATTATTGTATTGTATTCTATTTTTATATTATTGTTAAATATTAAACTACATTTTTATAAATTATTATATAATTATTATATAATCATATAACGTTATATATAATATTTTATATCTTATATATAATTATATAATAAATTATATAATATATAATAGTTTATATATAATTATATAATAAATTATATATTTTTAATATCTATAAATTTATATATAATTATATAATAGTTTATTTATATACTATATATATAGTATATAGTGTGTATATATATAGTATATATATTATATATACTATATAATTTATATAGTATATAAATTATATATATGTGTTACATATTAAATTATGATATTATTAAATTTATTATAATATTATATTTTTATTACATTATTATTAAACGCTAAATTATATTTTTCTTTTTAATATACTATTATATATGACATAAATCAGTATATATTATATAAATTCCATATTATATGTTACAGGATCTGAGCCGGGTGTGGAGCAGCTGCTCCGGGATCTGATCCAGGGAAAAACCATCCGAGCCCTGACCCACGACCCCAAAGATCCAGGTGGGAGCTCAGGTGACCCCAAAAGCTCTCAGGTGACCCCAAAAGCTCTGAGATGACCCCAAAGCTCTCAGGTGACCCCAAAAGCTCTCAGGTGACCCCAAAAGCTCTGAGATGACCCTAAAGCTCTCAGGTGACCCCAGAACTCTCAGGTGACCCCAAAAGCTCTCAGGTGACCCCAGAACTCTCAGGTGACCCCAAAAGCTCTCAGATGACCCCAAAGCTCTGAGGTGACCCCAAAGCTCTCGGATGACCCCAAAAGCTCTCAGGTGACCCCAAAGCTCTCAGGTGACCCCAAAGCTCTGAGGTGACCCCAAAGCTCTCAGGTGACCCCAAAGCTCTCAGGTGACCCCAAAAGCTCTCAGGTGACCCCAAAAGCTCTGAGATGACCCCAAAGCTCTCGGGTGACCCCAAAGCTCTCAGATGACCCCAAAGCTCTCAGGTGACCCCAAAAGCTCTCAGATGACCCCAAAGCTCTGAGATGACCCCAAAGCTCTCAGGTGACTCTGGTTGAGCTCCAGAGGCTCAGCGGGGTCCCAAAAAAAGCAGCGGGAGAAAGGGAACACCCTCGGGGGGGGAGGGAAGATCCAGCTCGGGATTTGGGACCTGCAGCTAAAAATAAAAGGGTTTGGGGTTTCCAGGGGCAGCTCGGGAGGTTTTGGGGGTGGGGCAGTGACTGGGGTGATAATGATGATTAATGATGATTAAATGATGTGATAATGATCCTTTTATTATGGTTATAAAGGTGTAATTATTATAATAGAACATGCTGTGTTATATAATAGGTTATATAATATATAATAGAATATATTATATAATTATACATAATTATGTATAAGGTAATGTATTATAAAAATATTATAATGTATTAGAATATATTATATATACCTATATATATCTGTAATAATATATTATAATATATTATAATATATTAGATAATATATATAATATAAAATTATATATAATGTAATATATTACAAAATTATGAGTGAGAGAATGAGATTATCATAATGTATTATAACAGATTATATATATTATGTATTATATATATAACTATATGTAATAATATATTATCTAATATAATATATATAGATTATATTAATTATATATAATTATAATTATAATATATAATATATTAGATAATTATCACAATAGATTATAATCGATTATAATATTATATATAGTATATATTTATATGTATCAGATAATATATATAGTATAATATAGAATGATATAGAATTATATAGAATTGTATAGAATTATAGATAATATATTATATAATTAGCATAATAGATTATAATCGATCAGAATAGAATAGAAAAGATAAATATATAATTATCATAATATATAATAATATATTATAAAATAAATTATATATTACATTTTATATTATATTATATTATGTTATATTATATTATATTATATTGTTATATTATATTATATAAATATCATATTATAATATCATAATTATAATATATTATAATGCCATCACTATTCTAATATATTAAAAAAGCAAAATGAACCATATTAGCAGTAATTATAATTAAAATGTGTCTCCACTGATCCTTTTCTGGGCTGGGGGTTCCCTGTGCCGGGGGGGTCTCCATGAGAATCCCGGAATCCTGGAACACAGGGATGGGGCGAGTGCCAGTGCCTGGGGTCACATTTCCAGGATCCTCCTGGGGATGATTTATTCTCCTCCTGACGAGGCCTCGGAGTGGGATCCCAGAAATCCTGCTGGGAAAAGCCAGATCCCTCCCTCCGGATTTCTCTGCCCCTCCTCGGGGGTTTCTGTGTGGTTATACCTGTATTCCTATGTGGGTTTACGTGTATTTATATTTTTACATTTATATATGTTTTTATATCTATATTACATATATTTACATATATTTATATATATTATATTAATAATTTTTATATATTTACATATATTTATATATTTTACATATAATTATATATTTATATATATTTATATATATTTATATATTCCCTTCTGGAAGGGGAATTCCTTATTTATATATAAGGTTTATATGTATTTATGCATATATTTGCACATATTTTTACATATATTTATATATTTATATTACGTATATTTTGATATATAATTTTATATATATTTATATATATATATATAAAATTATATATGAATATATATTTATATGTATTCATATATATGTGATTCATATATATGTGAATATATTTATATATATTCATATATATATTGTATATATTTTTACATTTATATATAAACATATAAAAATATAAATATATTTTTATATATTCATATATAATTTTTATATATTTTTTCAGATATTTAGATATTATATATGAATATATATTATATTTATAATATATAATATATATTTATAATATAAAATATGTGGGGGTTTTTTCCCCCTCATTTCCCCAGGGAAAAAGGTTTATCCCAGAAGTTTTTTCCCCTCATTTCTCCAGGGAAAAAAGTTCATCCCACTTTTTTTCCCCCCTCATTTCCCCCCCCGGGTGCCCCCCACGTACCTGGGAGCGAAGGAGGAGGAGGAGGAGGAAGGGTAGGAGAGGGGGTTCCTTCCAAAGCGGCCGAACCTCCCCGGGTTTTGGGAGAGGAGGGAATCTGAGCGGGAGCGGAGGGAGCGGGCTCGGGATTCCCGGCGGGAATGGGGGGCCCAGGACAGGAGCGCGGCCCGAGCGGCCTCGGACATCGCGGCCCCGGGGAACCCCCGACCCGCCCGGATCCTTCCCAGCCCTTCCTCCCCTCCTCCTTCCCCTCCTCCTCCTCCTCCTCCT